GTATGAATAGCAGATTTTGTCAAAGTTTCGTTATCTAGGTATGCCACCTTGGGGGTACACTCTTCTCGCTGCGGATGCTGGGGCGTGTCGGGGAGGGGCGGAGCGATGGGTTTGGCGTCGCGCCAGCTCGTTCTCCATCAACTATCGAAGCGAGCAAGCGACAATAGCTGGTGGATGACGGACTAGCACAGCGCTAGACCCGCCCTATGACACGCCCCAGCATCCGCAGCGAACAAAGCTGTACGGTTCACGATGATCGTATTGGGCGTAAACGGTCAATCACCGTGCCCCTCACCCTTTGGCGCGATCAGCCTCCTCGCTGTCATTTAAGTGGGAGCACCATGATACTCAGAGAACCGCTTTGTGAAGACCTGCACACTCCTATAACTAAAGTGACCCACTTGCACCATTTCGCAGTTCCCCAAGGGCTTGCGGTTAATCTGTTTATTAGCAGGTATTAAAAAAAGGAATTAGAGAAGGTGCTAAATGCCCCTCCAAGCCGAATAGCTCCGTCTTACGTTTATTATACATTCGCACGGGCCCAGAAACTGGAAAATTCTGAAGGCCGGTAATTCAAAGTTGTGCATTTTTTTGGTGCATTTTCATGTACAATACCGAAATTCGAAATTGCGAAATTCTGATTCAAGCTAAGTAACTTTGAAGTATCCAAGACAAACTTGCAACAAATCAGGACAGATGGCACAACAGATAAAAGCAAAAGGAGAAAGAGTGCTATGAGTCGATAAACAGTACGGGGCGAAGGGTGAAGGATATCCTCCATTTCAAGGCAGTGCGGCACCTGAATAGCCCATTTGACGCTTCACAAAGACGACACTCTCGTTGTATAATAAAAGTTCCAGAACTAACGCTGTCACTGCATGGTTTGAATTCGGTATGCTGATTCGGCGGAATGACGTGTGGACATCGTTTCGGCAACCATACTCGCCATCTTCTAGCAAAATTAGGCTCTTGAGCCTCAGGTGAATGAGAAATACAGGTCACTGTGCAAGGAGACCAGGCTGACCAGCATGTTGAGACCTGAACACATCAAGCAGAGTCTACAGACTACTTCTTGAGCTCTTCACCACGTCTCAGAAGTCTAAATTGACAGAACATTCCAGGGATGAGGAGTCGCCGTCGCACGCACAACTACGTGGGCGGACACTCCTTGGCGGCCAGTGGACTGCACAACTACTGTTTCGAAATCATTGAGTACTTACATTGGTATGAGCGCGAATATCAGACCCGTGCAGCATCCTGACGAAGAGGAAAAGCAGCAAAGGCAGCATCATTCATATAAGACGTTCAGTGAAAAATAAACCTATCCTTATTATGATAGAGTAGAAGTTGTTACTTATCTGGTGGCATTTTCCACGATAATCAGGCGCAGGTTTGGGCATTTAAAAGGGTTTGTAGTGACGGTAGTAGTATAGAACTGAACTGAGGATGGACTGTGCTTTCAGGTCTCCCTGTTTTTGTCATGTGAGTGGTGCAGTAGTGTGTCATTTTCTCCACGCAAAAGTTCTAAGGACTGGGCTGGAGGGTAACGATACCCGTGTGCCGTCTGCAACTCCGCCTCCGCCCGCGCTACAGCACGGCCAGCCATACACGCTCTAGCCCGATTAGCCCCGCACCTATACTCGAAATCCTGAGATGGGGTAGGCGTGGCTGCGTTTTTTAACTAAACGTGGCGGTTACTGTGCTTTTGGAGAAATATTTCCATTTTGACACAATTGTGGTCGTGTCTCTATCCAATGCAGAACAAGATGACAGTTGTCTCAGACTGAAATATTCTACGAGTGACCCGTTCTGCGCCATGCCCAAATGCCACGCCTACCCCATCTCAGGGATACGGAGTATAATCATAGTCAGACGCGCCACTTGCCTGCGCTCTCTTCTTGGTAGCCTCCACCCTGTTCCCATCCACGTTTGAGCCGAGAAGGTGGTAACCTTTTGCAGAACCCCTCAACCTACGCACAGAAGGACTCATTTCCGTATTATGGTAACTTCTGGAGCGCGACCCGCGGTTTTAACCCATAGCTATCATAAAAAATCCTCTTTCGGCTTCAGATTCATCCTTTTCCTTTTTTTCATTTCAGGATAGATTTCATCTGGGCGGTTATTACAAACATGAACTTGGCAATACCACGATTTTAGTGCTGAACACGAACTTGTACTACAAGTAAGTCCCTTTTGTTGTTCAAATGAGAAGCTTATTGAACACGTGTAGTTTCCGGAGAATCAAATGAATCAAATAGTGAGCACTAGTCCGGAGGAGGTCTCGGAAGAGACGACGCTCCCGGAAATGCTGCAGAAGCTATCCTTTTCCTGGAAGAGCTGGGAGCCTTCTCGCCATCCGCTGCTTTTGGGCGTATTCCTTCATTGCCTTATGAGTGAAAACGTTGCGCCTTACTCTTTGATATGGCCCTCGTTCCAAGGCGATCAAGAGGTCAAGCGAAGGAATGCGCCAGTGAAGGAAGCATTGGAACCAACTTTGCCCACGCGGCTTACGTGGGATGAGCGTCTGGGCATGTAATTGATCTACCACTTCAATCAATGTGATTCCCACCACCCAGATGCCCTACAGAGGTGAACCTAAATGCCGTGCAAAGGCAAAGCGCTCCCCTTCCAATGTTTCAGGGGTGGGAAAAGCGCCGAACACAGAAGCCGCAAACGTTAAATGATTTTTCGGATCGATTTTTTTTGTTATTGGAGATCTCTCGGGGGAGTTTTGGGACATCCTAATGAATTTGCGGGAAGTTTTTGTTTAATGTTCTATACAATTGAACTTAGTTAGGTGTATGTGCAGAGCTACATTAATTTATTTTTTTAGAAGTTTCAGGGATTTTTCAGCTATTCAGCCATTTGAATACCTATTAAAATTTTTCAGTTATTGCTTTTTCAGTGCAAATAAAGCCTATGATAACTTCACGAACAAGGACGACCCAGCGGGCCAGTTTTGCCTTTATGGAGAACGAACTGAAAGCCGCTAAGAAGTGCAGACAACAAAGCACACTTGGATGCAAGCCTACAGTACATATTGTCGCTCATATTGCTCCGGGAGGTCAGCTATCTTGTTTTACCGCTCGAAACTTTTAATTGGCGTGCCATGTGGGTAAGTATTTCTCGAAAATATCCCTAAATTCGATGAAACTAGCGTTTCTTCGGAGGCAGGTGGCCTAGGGGTGGTCTTTAAAGGACTTGTCATGCGGAACGATAATTTGTGGGACTGCCGTATACCTGCACTGTCCACGTCTCTGCTCCTTTGCCGTTAACTGTCAGCGAACCACAGATGTGCTGGTGCTCACCTTTATTCCGCTGTGGACGCCCTTTCCAGGTGGTGTGGTATGGGCTGTATGCCTTATAAGCCACAAGCTGGAATGTAGCTTACCCAGGTAAAGGCGCCCCTCTCAATGATGCCTCTCCGCCTTTCAAGCTGGCGAAGAGGAGGAACAAGCTTATGACAGGAGTGGTATGGTCCGAATGACTTCATTATTACGGTCAATGCGGAAGATCCCCAGAAGCACTTAATTTATGCAGGGCGGGAAGACCGTTCTGGGAAATTGCCCCACGACCTGAACAGCCTTTCTTGCGAGTAGAATGGTTCAAAGGATTTATTCCGCGGGCAGTTCGGCACCATTTGATATAACCACCGAGTGGTGCTTAGCAAAGCTAATTCAGGCTACCT